ATAGAATAAATTTCCATTTTTGGTAGGGTACTGTATATTTCAAAAAAAGAACCTTACTGTATATAGGATATTCCTTAGAGAAATTGCAAACCCGTTACTATTGTTATCATTATTATTTTGTTGATACTATTAACATGATGAAATGAAAGCAACCTATGCAGTTTTACGCTAAATGTACGCATAACATTTATTATACACTGCGTATATTTTTTCATAAGGAAATATATCCACTCGCTATAAAGACCAACTTTTTATTTGATAAAAGATTAATACGATATAAATATATAAATAATACAAAATAAATAAATACCAAAAACAAATCTCTAAATTTAATCAGTTCTCACTCTCACTCTTAAAAATACATTCACTCTCTCACACTTGCGCTCATTATCACAACAAATCCAAGGAAATCTCATCAAGATATTTCCTTCACCTGTTATTATTATTATTATTATTATTATTATTATTATTATTATTATTATTATTATTATAATTACTAATTATTATTATTATTATTACTATTATTATTATATGTTACTATTATTATTATATATTACTATATGTTACTATTATTATTATATTTAAATAAAATAATGAGATATTAAAATAAAGAAATTAAAAAAATAAGAGTTAAATAAATATTTAATGTCCCACCAAAAAGTTTTAAACTATAAAGATTACATTAATTATTTATTATGTATTGTATGTATGTATGTATATATAAAGCCTAACAAAAACATCCCCAAATCTTTCCAATTTAAATTAATATTACACCAATAATTTAATTAATTCAGATGTATGACGATGATGACCACGATGAAATTTCAAATTATTATTATTAAATTGTAAAGGTCTTTCAAATTCTTTATTAAATGATTCATCAGGCCATGACAATGAATCTTCTTCACGTTCATCAAATATTGTTGCAGATGCAGAATTGTTGTAGAAAAGATTATGATGATGTTTATTATTAAGGTTATTATTAAGATTTTTAGATTTTGGGTTAAGAATATTTAAAGAAGAGAATGGATTAAAATAACTATTATTATTATTATTATTATTATTATTATTATTATTATTATTATTATTATTATATGGAGTTGTTGGCGGTGTTATAGGCATCGATGGTGGTGTTGTTGGTGACAAGTTAACGTTGATATTAATATTAGAAGTATTGATTGATGAAGAGGGTGATTTTGAGAATAATGAAAATGACGATGAAGAAGATGAAGGTGACAACGAAGAAGAAGGAGAAGAAGATAATAACGATGGCGATGATGACGATGCGGTAGAAATTGAGATTGGTTTAACATTATGTTTATGGTTGTTAATGGAATTAGATGGCGAAGGTTTTCTAACTGGTGTACCAATTGGTTCTTTATAATATCTTGACTGTAAAGAGGGAGAAGAAGGTGATAGTGATGACGAAGATGATGAAGAAGATTTATGATGTAGAAATGAATTTGGTTTATATCTTGAATTATTATTATTTAAAGAAGATGGCGTCGACGGTGTTAATGGTGTCAATGGTGTTGTGGGTGTTGTGGGTGTTTGTACTAAATTAAATTTAAATAATGGATCAAAATTATTATTGTTATTGTTTGCTTCCGATTTAAGACGCAATTGGTGAGCAGCAATTGCATCGTTTAATTGAATTTGTTGTATTTCAAGTAATTTGCGTTCTTCTTCTAACAATAATTGTTGAGCAAAAAATTCTTTATCATCCAAAAACCAGTGATGATGTTGATGATAACTTGATTTTGTCGAAGGGTAGTAAGGCGACAAACTCGGAGAAAATGAGGAGGATGAGGAATGAATTGAAGACGGGTTAAGTGGTGGATATCCTTGACCACTGGATAATGAATCCCAATCTGAATCTATTTTTATAATTAAATTAATATTATTGGATAATAAAGATATTTATTCCCAAGAAAAAGATATAATATAATATAATTACCATGTCTATTATTATTAAATTTATAATCAAATTCTTTTAAAGAAGATTTTAAACCAAATGCATCATCAAAACTCAATTCATCAAATACATCATAACTAACATATGGAATTGATGACAAAGAATTCAGTTTAACATTTCTGTTTGTTGTTGTTGGATAATATGAATTGTTGCTGATTCCATTAAGATTTAATTTTGGAACTGAAGAATTGTTACGTTTGTGTTTTGCTTGGTTATGATAATTATGATATTTTAATGATGATTGGTAAGAATAAGATTTTTGATGTGCGAAATATGAATTTTCAATTTCTAAGTTCATTGGGTAAATTCATGATTCGTGAGTATTATGAATGTTATGGATATTATAAATATCACTTTATTGCATTTAAATAAACAGAATAAATATTTACCAGATATTCTTCTATTATTTAATGAAGATAAAGAATTTGTCTTTGCGTGCGAATTATAATAACGATTATTGTTATTTGATTTAGCATTTTCTAACAATTTTGCGGCAATTGCAATTTCTATCAAACCAGAATAAATAAGTTTAATTTGTGAAATATGAAGAATGAAAAAGAATAATCTGAATTAAATTAATGAAATTACCATCAAATTGTAATTTGAATGCGATTGATTCTTCTTTATTGGCTTTAATTTGGATATCCTCATGCTTGTTATTATCTTCAATTCCAAGCTTATTGTTATCATCATCATTGTTGGTTTTTTCGTCATTATTAGGAATATTCGTACTGCGAGAAGTATCGTCGACAAGTTTTAATCCTTGATTTTCTTCCATACTTTCCATTTCGTTAATATAATAATAAATGGATTATTTTTCATTAATAGAAAAGAGCTTGAGGGATAGTTTATAGAGATTTTGTGAATTGATAATATAAATGAATACGTTCGTTATTGATTATATTAATTATTTTTGTCAACAAAAAAAAAAAACAGTGAAAATAATTATTTTGTTTTCCTCTAAGCTCTTTTCTTTAAAGAAAAAAAAACCCCAAAAGAATAAAACTTCGCTTAAAGAAATTTATTAAAAAAAATTTACTTGTATTTATATTACTAATCATCAATTGCTATTCCCAAATTTAGATTTCAATTTCCGAAGTTATGAAAATTTCATATGATCTGATACATCGATCTTTTGCATGCGCGTGTGTATATTATTCATTCATAAAGTGTACCATAATATGACTTTTCATTTAAATTTTTTCGTGTATTTACTTATATATATATATAATTTAAAAGATTATTAATAATCAATATACTGAAAATCATCAAAGTTCAGGGTTCTTTTCTATCTTTTTCCATCACTCCTGTCTCTTTTTCATACATATATATATATATATATATAAAAGGAATTCAAATCAATGACACCACGACCGCGTTTATTAATATATCATAATCCTCTTTAATGACCTTTTTCGTATTTTTCTTTTGTTCTTTCTTGAACATCTTTCGATATTAAACACGAATGCTTCGCCTCCAAAACTGATTTTAACGGATTTGCAGACTTTTCTCATCAAATAATCAATAACAATAACAATAACAATAATAATAATAATAATAATAATAATAATAATAATAATAATAATAATAATAATAATA